TTCTTCTTCTTCCTCTTCCTCTTCAACTTCTTCTTTCTCTTCATCTTCTCCCTGTCCCTCTTCTTTCTTTTCTTCTCCTGCCTCCTTTGTTTCTCCTTCGCTGCCACCTTGTTCCTCTTTATGTTTCTGCTTCCTTGCTGTTTTCCCCTGCACCACCTGGTATCTTATTCTCTGTTGTTCGGGCTCCTCTGTTCCATCTTCTTCCATAAACTCTTTATTGTATTTCCTCAAAAAGTGTTCTCCTTTTGTGGAATCCAAAATTAGATGGCTTTCCCCTTTATAATAGAAGGACACCCTTGTGGAAATTGCCATTTAAAGAAAATGCTCTTCCTCTTGAGCTTCTCCACCAAGGGGGTAAATTCTCTTCTTTTTCTAAGCAGTCTGCTTGGAATTTATTTAAGCATCAGAAGTTTAACATCATCTACCACGATAGGTGTTTCGTACTGCTTTATTATTATGGCCTACAGAAAGCATATAAAAACATGGCTTTGGGACCAAGCATTTGGCCAATAGTGCAATGTAATAAGTGATGATGGAAAATGTGCAATGACAATTGCAATGGCTTTTTAAAACTATGATTTCGTATTGCATGGTTTTAATAATGTATCTTTATATGATTTTAAATTCATGTTTTAATGTATATGTTTATATGTATTACCTGTCCGAATGCATCTCCATCGTGGAGATTAAGATCCTCCAGAGAGGCCCTGGTTTCTGTCCGGCCATTGTCACAGGTATAATTGGTGGGGACTAGAGACAGGGCCTTCTCGATGATTGCTCCCCAGCTATGCAACTCCCTTCCTGGTGAGATCAGGTCAGCCCCTCTCTACTGTCCTTTAGAAGGATGGTAAAAACTTGGCTGTGGGACCAGGCTTTCGGGACAGGGCAATAAAGCAGCAATAGGAAAGATTACCAGGCCAATTAGATTTGACATGGATGACTAGGACAGTTTTAAAAGGTGTATTATAATATTTAGATTTTTTTTAATGTTTATGTATGTATATAAGAACTTGTGTCCCGGCATTGAATGTTTGCCGTATATATGCTGTGCTCCGCCCTGAGTCCCCTTTGGGGTGAGAAGGGCGGCGTATAAATACTGTAAATAAATAAATATCTTTAAAGGATTTCACCAACATCTGTAGGATAAAATCTCTTGGCACCTTATTCTTCCTGAGTAACTTTAATTCACTCTGTATGCAATTGAAATTGATGCAAAGATTGCATCAGTATCCATTTCTTCTAGTAGATCCGTAATAAGTCTTGCCAGATAGAATTTAAGATCATGATTATCCACGTCCTCTCTCAGCCCTCTAATACTGATACAGGGACCTTAATTCCAGCATGTCCAATTTTGACATGCTGGAATTCTACCGTATACCATGCAGCTGTGGACAAGTCTACATAGGGACCACCAAACGCAGCGCCAAACACGAATCAAGGAACATGAAAGGCACTGCAGACTACTTCAACCAGAGAAGTCAGCCATAGCAGAGCACCTGATGAACCAACCTGGACACAGCATATTATCTGAGAACACAGAAATGCTGGACCACTCTCAACAACCACCATGTCAGACTACACAGAGAAGCCATTGAAATCCACAAGAATGTGGACAATTTCAACAGAAAGGAAGAGACCATGAAAATGAACAAAATCTGGCTACCAGTATTAAAAAACTCTAAAATTACAACAGTAAAACAGCAGAGAGGAAACAACCAGGCACATCTTAACACCTCTCAACAAAAGATTTTCCCAGGCTCAGCCAGGCCTTCAAATGCTAATGAAGGTGATCAGTTGAAACATTCACACCTAGCTCCAGCAGAGAAGAGCTCTTTGCCCCACCCCAGCCATTCCACAGATATATAAACCCATTGTCCTAATTCCAACAGACCTCACTACCTCTGAGGATGCTTGCCATAGATGCAGGAGAAACGTCAGGAGAAATGCCTCTAGAACATGGCCCTGTAGCCCGAAAAAACCCACAAGAACCTTATGTCCAATTTTGTTAAAAACTCTTCTTGCAATTCTGATAAAGATTAGAAAATTAAAAGTCCAAAGCCTTTACTATGAAAGTGTTGGCTGCTGCTCCATGTCTTGAAGACAGAGATTCCTGGTTTTCTATTAACCGGATGGGCTTATTTCTCAGATATTTCCTCTTCCACAGCCTGGTTATTTCCGTAAGACAACACGCCCCTCTCATCCATATCTGAGTGGAATGAATGTCGGGGGGGGGGGGTGGGGTGGTGGTGGAAAAAAGATTCCCTCCCCCACACTATCTTCTAAAGACAATGAAGCTCACATTTCTCGGTCTTGCTCCAAAGTAGCCAACCCCAAATGTCCTATGCTCAAAAATTTACAAGAAATTTTATGACATCTTAAAGTGTTAAAGGATGGACTGTGTTATGGAGTGCTCTTCTGATGCTGAGGGAGAAGGAGGACAGGTCGATGAAGCAGCAGCACTTGGGGATTTGGGGCTAAGTGGTGAGGAAGAAGAAGAAGAGGTGGCAGACATATCACAAATCCCCACGTTTCGGGAACTACGAAGGGAGAAAGAAGTCAGAAGGAGATCAGCAAGGTTAGCAGTGAAAACGCTGAGAAATCAGACTGCGCCCTAGAGACAGCTGTGCTGGGAGCTCAGGGCTATAAATAGCAGCAAAGTCAGGGGCCCAGTGCTGACAACACAGTTGCCTCTAGGACCTACTTCGAGGGAGTTCCTGTGCCAAGCACTGTGTATTAGTTCCAGCGTCAGTCCTTCCTGAAGGTTCTTGGCTATTGATGTTTGTTTCTGCAACCTGTAAGCCTGTTTATAAAAGACCCTAGTTTCTATCTGATGTGAAAACTTTTGTTTTACGTTTGCTTGAAGATTGTGCATTACCATCGAGACTATACTTTCTTCGTCATTTATTGCATTATCTTTATTTTGACTGAAGTAAAGCCTTTTTTATTTATTTTCACTTGTGTCTAAGGCTGCTTCTGGTGAAAAACTGGACAACTTAGGCCAACAAACTACAGGAAAGGAGGTTCAACCTGAACATTAGGAAGATCTTCCTAACTGTGAGAGCTGTTCAGCAGTGGAACTCTCTGCCCCGGAGTGTGGTGTAGGCTCCTTCTTTGGAGGCTTTTAAACAGAGGCTGGGTGGCCATCTGGCGGGGGCGCTCTGAATGTGATTTTCCTGCTTTTTGGTAGGGGGTTGGACTGGATGGCCAACAAGGTTTCTTTCAACTCTGTGATTCTATGAATATCACTATCCATCTAAAACATGTGCTTTTCATCTCAAGAACAGACAAGCCTCCCGAGCTCTGAGGATCACCTGGGAAGGAATCCCACTGTAGTATTGCAGTGCACCCAAATACCTGGGAGTCACCCTGGACCGTGCTCTGACCTACAAGAAGCACTGCCTGAATATCAAGCAAAAAGTGGGTGCTAGAAACAATATCATACGAAAGCTGACTGGTGCAACCTGGGGATCACAACCAGATACAGTGAAGACATCTGCCCTGGCGCTATGCTACTCTGCTGATGAATATGCATGCCCAGTGTGGAACACATCTCACCATGCTAAAACAGTGGATGTGGCTCTTAATGAGACATGCTGCATTATCACGGGGTGTCTGCGCCCTACACCACTGGAGAAATTACACTGCTTAGCTGGTATTGCACCACCTGACATCCGCTGGGAAGTAGCAGCCAATAGTGAAAGGACAAAGGCAGAGACATTTCCAACGCATCCCTTGTTTGGGTATTAGCCAGCACGTCAACGACTTAAATCAAGAAATCGTTTTTTAAGATCTACAGAGACACTCGCTGGAACACCTCAGCAAGCGAGAGTCTTGTTCTTGTGGCACGAGAGTAAAGATGAAGATCCACCCAGAGGAAAAGTGTTCCTGCCATACATCAAGGGAACCACTGACCGCATAGGGAAGCTGATGAGGAAACACAACATACAAACAATCTACAAACCCACCAAGAAAATACAACAAATGCTACGTTCAGCAAAGGACAAGAGGGATCCTCTCACCTCTGCAGGAGTCTACCGTATACCATGCAGCTGTGGACAAGTCTACATAGGGACCACCAAACGCAGCGCCCAGACACGAATCAAGGAACATGAAAGGCACTGCAGACTACTTCAACCAGAGAAGTCAGCCATAGCAGAGCACCTGATCAACCAGCCTGGACACAGCATATTATTTGAGAACACAGAAATGCTGGACCACACCAACAACCACCATGTCAGACTACACAGAGAAGCCATTGAAATCCACAAGCATGTGGACAATTTCAACAGAAAGGAAGAGACCATGAAAATGAACAAAATCTGGCTACCAGTATTAAAAAACTCTAAAATTACAACAGCAAAACAACAGAGAGGAAACAACCAGGCACATCTTAACACCTCTCAGCAAGAGATTTTCCCAGGCTCAGGCAGGCCTTCAAATGCTAATGAAGGTGGTCAGTTGAAACATTCACACCTAGCTCCAGCAGAGAAGAGCTCTTTACTCCACCCCAGCCATTCCACAGATATATAAACCCATTTTCCTAATTCCAACAGACCTCACTACCTCTGAGGATGCTTGCCATAGATGCAGGCGAAACATCAGGAGAAATGCCTCTAGAACATGGCCATATAGCCCGAAAAAACCCACAAGAACCAACTGAATCTGTGTTTTTTAAAACTTGGGGAAGTTGATTCATTAGCTGCGGCCAGCTGTAACAAACTCATAGCAGTGACACGCGTGTTTGTGTGAATGCATGGTGCTGGACTCAATTAATCAATTCAAATCAGGAGGTTAACAAAGCAACAAAGCAGTTTGACTTGGCCTTTAAGGCGAGAAGGCCTCTCTCTTCCAGGCCTCAAGACAAAAAGTCTCTTCAGCATCTCGCGGTTGCTAGGCATCGTGACGCAAGCTGCCTTCGAGCGCCTATTGGTCCAGCATCAGGCTCCATTCTCCCTCCGCCCGCCCTCAGGATTCGCAGGGGGCGGAGCCGAGCCGGCGTGGGCTACGACGCATGCGCGGCCCGAGGAGAGCGTCCTTTTTCGGCCACGTCTGCCGGGTCTTCCTGTTTCTGAGAGCAAGACCAGGCTCGGGGGTCGCGGGTGAGAGATGGGCTTCGCCTGGCTCCCGCTTCTTGCCTTGTGGGCGCTCTCCTCTTCCGCCTTGGCTTGGGACCCCGGCGACTTGGAGCTTTTCGACTTGGTGGAAGAGATCCCTCAAAACTTCTACGTCTTCCTGGGAGTGGAGCAGGTGAGGGGCCGGAACTATCTCTGCCGCCTCTTCGAACCTGAGGGCTCAATGCTGGGGCCCGTGGAGAGCCTCCTCACCCAGGACGAGAGGGTTTCTGAGCATGGGCAGACAGCTTTTCTGTGGAGGAATGGCCTACGGGTCTGGGAAGAGGGAGCAGGTTTCCTAGGGCTCATCTATCTACATTGTAGAAAGGATGCAGCTTGACACTACGTTAACAGCTATGGCACAATGCTGTGGAACCATTGGAGTTGTAGTTTTACATTGGGTGCATCTACTGCGCTGTGAAATGTATGGATGAGTAAAACTGCTTTCAAGGAAGGGGCCTGAGGCTGTTAGGCATTGTAGGAGTTGAAGTCCAAAACACCCGAAGGGCCGAAGTTTGCCCATGTCAGCTAGTCCTCTTGAACGCACATAGTGTCAAGCTTGACACTTGAAAGCAGGAATTGTGGGAGTTGAAGTCCAAAACACCTGAAGGGCGGAAGTCCTCTTGAAAGCACGTACTGTCAAGTTTGACACTTGAAAGCTGGAATTGTGGGAGTTGAAGTCCAAAACACCTGAAGGGCCGAAGTTTGCCCATGTCAGCTAGTCCTCTTGAAAACACATAGTGTCAAGCTTGACACTTGAAAGCAGGAATTGTGGGAGTTGAAGACCAAAAAACATGAAGGGCTGAGGTTTGTCCATGTCAGCTAGTCTTCTTGAAAGCATGCAGTATCAAGCTTGGCACTTGAAAGCTGGAATTTTGGGAGTTGAAGACCAAAACATCTGAAGGGTCGAAGTTTGCCCATGTCAGCTAGTTCTCTTGAAAGCATGTAGTGTCAAGCTTGTTACTTGAAAGCAGGAATTGTGGGAGTTGTAGTCCAAAACACCTGAAAGGCCGAAGTTTGTCCATGTCAGCTAATCCTCTTGAAAGCACGTAGTGTCAAGCTTGACACTTGAAAGCAGGAATTGTGGGAGGTGAAGTCCAAAACACCTGGAAGGCTGAAGTTTGCCCATACCTGGTGTGGATGCACCTCCCAAGGATGGGATTTGGGAGTTTTATTTATTTGTTTAGTACATTTGTACCCTTTCCATTTCACACCCCCCCCCGAGGGGGGGGGCACTCAGAACAGCTTCACAACAAGCACTCATTCGAGTCCTAACCACAATAAAAATATATTTAAAACAATTCATTAAAATACAGTATATTAATAGACATTTGTTTAAAATCACGCTGGCTTAAAATCAGTATGTGGGTCAGTCCATTGTGATTCATATCACATTGAGTCATATTCCTGATTGCTGCTTCTATTATTCAAATGCTTGGTCCCATAACCGGGTTTTAAGTTTCTTTCTGAAGGACAGGAGGGAAGCGGCCAGTCTGATGTCACTGGGAAGAGTTCCACAGGCAAGGGACCTCCACTAAGAAAGCCCTGTTTAACGTCCCCACCAGTCACGTTTGCAGTGTTGGTGGGATCGAGGGCAGGGCCCCTCCAGCCAATCTTAAACTTCGTGATGGTTTGTAATGGGAGATATGTTTACATGTTTATAAACATGTAAACAACACACTCTTTTTCCATTACATTATCCCACATCTCAACTTCCTCTCCTCTTTTCCAGAGTCAAAAATTCTGATAATTGAGGAAATTTGAAGTAATAGAGGCAATGGAATGAGAGAAGGCTGAGAAACAACTAATTTTTCACGCTAAATTTATTGTTTTTGTTATAATATTTATTTGTACCCCACTTTTTTTCTCAGGACTGATACTCAAAGCGACTCACAATCTTAAAAACGATTATTATTTATTTTATTATTATTTACTCTAGTTATATCCTGCCTTTCTCAACCACAAAGGGGACTCAAGGTGGCTTTACATATAGGCAGTTATCCTGTGCCTTTAAGCAACATACAATTCAGCATTAAAATTAATGCATAATAAAATTACATGAACATTAAAATTAATGCATATTAAAACATTAAAAACATTACATTCAGTATTAAAAACCATGCCATCCATAATTGTAATCCAGGGCTGTTCCAATGGTCATTGCACATATTACATATTCTATTATTGCACTGCAATTATTCTCCAAAGGCTTGATCCCAAAGCCATGTTTTCACTTTCCTTCTGAAGGCCAGGAGTGAGGGGGCTGATCTAATGTCACTGGGGAGGGAGTTCCAGGGGGCAACCACTGAGAAGGCCCTGTCTCTTGTCCCCACTAGTTGTACCTGTGAAGAAGGCAGGGCTGAGAGCAGGGCCTCCCCAGATTATCTTAATCTCAGAGGTTGTTCATAGGGGGAGATAAATTCAGACAGGTAAGCTGGACTGGAACCTATGCCATTAAAAAAGCTGCGCAATATAAATATTAAAATAGAATTAAATATTACAATTATTAAAATAAGCAAAATGCCATGGGAAAGAATTCCTAATATCATACAGTATCTTTTGCCCTGTTCTTTAAAACTTTCTGCCTGAATAAAAAGGATACCTGTGGTTATAGCATGAGTATCCCTTATTCAGGTATCTGAAACAATCCAAAATTGCAGCGGAAATAGTGATACTTTGGGTTTCGGAGAGTTCAGTGTACACAGACTTTGTCTAGTGCATGAAATTATAAAAAATATTGTGTATAAAATCATCTTCAAGCTGTGTTTATCAAACGTAAATGAGTTTGGGGTTGGACTAAGTTCCCATTTCCAAGAGCACATCTACACAGTAGAATGTAATTTGACATTTTAACTGTTGTGGAGAATCATGGAAATTATAGTTTTAAAAGTTCAACAGTGGCAAATGCAGGATGCACTTAGCAGAAAAGAAAAGAAATACAAAAATTCAGAATGTGGGATGCCTGGCTCGACAGCAGCACATGTGAAAAAGATCTTGGAGTCCTCGTGGACAACAAGTTAAACATGGGCCAACAATGTTATGCCGTGGCAAAAAAAGCCAATGGGATTTTGGTCTGCATAAATAGGAGTATAGTGTCTAGATCCAGGCAGATTATGCTACCCCTCTATTCTGCTTTGGTCAGACCACATCTGGAATTCTGGGCGCTGCAGTTTAAGGGAGATGTTGACAAGCTGGAATGTGTCCAGAGGAGGGAGACTAAAATGATCAAGGGTCTGGAGAACAAGCCCTATGAGAAGCGGTTTAAAGACCTGGGCATGTTTAACCTGCAGAAGAGGAGGATGAGAGAAGACATGATAGCCATGTATAAATATGTGGGGGGAAGTCATAGGAAAGAGAGAACAGGCTTGTTTTCTACTGCCCTGGAGACTAAGACGCGGAACAATAGCTTCAAACGACAGGAAAGGAGATTCCCCCTGAACATTAGGAAGAACTTCCTAACTGTGAGAGCTGTTCAGTGGTGGAACTCACTGCCCCAGAGTGTGGTAGAGGCTCCTTTGGAAGCTTTTAAACAAAGGCAGGGTAGCTATCTGTCGGGGGTGCTTTGAATGCAATTTTCCTGCTTCTTGGCACGGGATTTGGGCTGGATTCTATGATTCTGAGGTATTCAGCCTTTCTGCCAAACAGTATGCATGCCTCACCATACTATAACTTTCATGATCCCATAACACAGTGGTTCTCAACCTGAGGGTCCCCAAGTGCTTTGGCCTACAACTTTCAGAAATCTCAGCCAGTTTTCCAGCTGTTAGGGTTTCTGGAGGATGAAACCCAAAACATCTCAGGGCCCACAGATTGAGAACTGCTGCATAACATGTCATCAGTTACAAAGCTGTTAAACAGCATTCATTCAAATGCAAGGTATCTCATTACATAAATGCAAATATTCCAAAACATTTCTGGTCTCAAGCATTTCCAATAAGAATTACTCAATCTGTAGTGACACTTGTCCTACCTGTTTCCTCCTTTATTTAGTATTTAGTGCAATCTAATCCTGTAGGTATTTTGAGTAATATATTTTACACAATTCCTTTCTGTTTGATCTTCTAGTGCTGCTTCCAAACCCCGGTATTTTCTTTTATTGTAGTGTATTTTACTGTTGGAGTTCTCTTTTCTCCAGGGATCTTCTGCTTCCACATAGCCATGTGGTCTTATAATTCTTCCCTCTTTCCATGCATATGTTGCAATGTAAGAACCGTCATTCTTCCTCTTCCATCTCCCAACCCACAGAGGATACTTTTATTGGTCTTACAAATATCAGGTCTTGAAAGTTGCATGTACATCTATTCCTCAACTCTTTTTTCTCAGCCTTGTTTGCAGTTTCCTCTTTGAATAAATGTGATAACTTGCTATCTGTCCTTTTGTGGAGAATCTAAGTGGAAATTACTGTTTTCCAAGTCATTCTGTCCTGAATTTCTAGAGCACAACCTCCTCAAGTATATTTACCTCCTTATATGAAGAAATTTTTTAGAGAGGCAGAGAGTTGGTTGGATTTTGTTCATTTGAAAACCTTGTCGGGAATTTTTTAAGCTATATCCTGCACTGTGGGACATGTAAATATGAGTAGGAGGATGGCCTAGATAGTCTCCTAGTTTCCTGGTCTGCGATTCATTTAAGAGGCCTCCAGCTAAGTGTCTTCACAACCACGTTGTGTTGCAACTGAGTGCAGGACTTTTTGTTTTCTATAGACTATATCCTGAGAGACCAGCACTAGTATCCTCTTTTTGAGGTCCTGATAGTAGCCTAAAATGGGCTTCTTCAATCTGGTTTTTAATGAACAGTAAAGTGGTGTCTGTTTTATTCATGATACTTACTTTTGGCCTGCTTTGGCTGTCATGTTGCTCCTGATCTTGATGGTATGTTGACTTGGAATGAGGGTTTCAAAGATGATAATTTTGCTTTTGAGTTTACAGTCAGTTCTCCACATTCACTAGAGCAGAGCTCCTCTGTGAAAATGAAAAAATGCCCCAGTTTTAAAAAAACTGTGAGAAGGTCTCTCTATTTCTAGGACCTCCATTATGATTCTATTGTCCAGTGTTTCTCAAAACATCTGGAGGAGTACAGTTTGAGAAATTCTGGCATAATATATCGTAGATGTACTAGGTCCTCCAGTATGACTGT